TTTTTCCTATTTCATCGTTTTTGTGTCTGCTATGTTAGCTTATTTTTTCTTGGTTCTTGGGTTGTGTCCGTCGTTCTTGATATATCTTACACATGATCCTAAGATATTTGTGTATGAATGCCTGTAACTTTTGGGTAAGGGTATCAGACCCAATCCAAGCTTCATTTCCGTATTTATATGTACAGTGACTGTAAAAAGTATTTTGCCTCAATACAAATTTGACAAAATTCCAATATATACGCCTAAAGCCAGCATACTAAAGCTGTAAAATGAATTATGTATGATGGGATATGTTTGTGGACATATTTAGATCTTATTTCTGCTAGAATGACTGCGAAAGAACTATTGGTCTCGAAGATATCGGCCAAAATCTATACCAACACAAAAATGATTATAAAAAAAAAGTATTTTGCTTTTTATTATTATTTTATAAAAAATCATTACATAGCACACAATTTGTCTTTTTATAGTTACCATTGCGGGTAAAAACATACTATAAGCGATTTGGCGACGACGAATTTTTTCGCGAATAATTTCTCACATTCTTCAGCAATATTTCATTGAATATTTGGTTATTTATCGTCCTAATCTCAAAAGGAAATTATTAAATATAGTCGTCGCTACTCTGAAACATCCCAATTATACTTAGAACAATAAAAAAGCGGTTTTGCAAAATATAACGCAAGGACAGGACCTTAAAAAGTATTAAAATCAAAATCCGACAAACAAATTATTTAAAGAAATATCGCGAAACCCCATTTTTCTGACTTTGAAAACTTTTTGGTCCATCACACTGGTTCCCCATAACTACACACATACTGACCTATCGCTTTGTAAGAGGTCCACAAGGTCTCCTTATCTGCGTCCAAGTGAAACCGGCAAGCGACTTAAGGACCTTGTTCCTACTTTTCAACTTGTCGTAGATAGCTGTGGTTTGTGCGGAAGATTTGAACATGATGTCGAATGTAACCCCCATCATTTTGAGTTAGTGGTCGGAATTGTGTGCCCCTCGACCTACACATTCAGTGACATTCTCATCTCTCAAGTCCAGTGGTGAAGAATGTGGCCGAAGACTTCAAACTTGGCCGGAGGGAAGTTTTCTGGATGTCCTCAAGCAGTGTGACTAGATTGACTGTACCAAAGGATTCTTGTTAAGTCCTCGACTTATATGTGTGGAGATGGCGTACAAAGCGGTTGTTGTGCTGTGTTGTTTACAGAATCCATGTTGAGGCCTGTGGTCAGGTACTCAACTTCGTGATCGTCCAGCTGGTGTCTAGTTTCAGCATAACCATGGATATTCCGTCAGGGACAGATGCTTTAGATGACTTGGCGTTACGGATGACACCTCCTCGGAAGAAAGAGATCTTATACGACGTTGTACTCTTCACTTCGCCCTGTCGCTCTCGGGATGCTGCAGCTGCAATGATGTCCCACAATTTCCTTTCTGCTACCCGTACATAAGAAGGAGTGACAAATTCCCTGAAGCACTGGTTGGTGAACTCTCTGAATCCTTGCCGGATGACTTTCCTACGGAGTTCAGCAATGATGATATCCGACGATTCGCTTATGGAGAAGATTATGGGGATGTGGTCTGAAGCTATAGAAATGACGGACTGCAAGTTGACGTCATATGTTTGATACAGGGGGTGTGTCATTCTATTGATTGATCTATTATGACTCGTAGGATGTTTTCCTAGTCCATATAACTTCTAGTTCGTCTAAAGCCAGCCTGTTCATCTTTTATAATTTGTTCTACTATCCTTTGAATTATTTTCAGTATTATGATTGCTAGAATTTTATATAAGGTATTGAGCAGGTTTATTACAAATTTTCAAATCGCCATTTTTTGGTCACTCACAACGAAGCCTTTCTTCAACGTTAGAGACAGTCTTTCTTCCTCCCAAGCTGATATCATGTAAGGTCGAAGTAACTCAGTTGTGGTTCTGTCGTAAACTTTAGAACTTCCGCCAGTAAATTTTTTTCTCCTGCTGCTTTGTTACTTTTTAGTCGTTTTACTGGCTCTTTAACTTCGTTCAAGCTGGGAGGGTCACACGATATTTTCCATTGAATTGCAATTGTACATTTCGTTATTGAATACCTGCGTTTTTGGTTCCAAGTCTCGTCTGATATCCGGAATTTTCTCTGTTTCGTACTCTGATGGGGTTTTAATATATTTTGTTTTTTTTTTTCAAAATAGTCAGGCTGAATCTCAGTTTGTAGTTTTTATAAAAAATACTATTTATTAGTGGGGAATGTATGACATTGTTTGCCGAGGGGTAAGGCAGGGAAGATTACAGTTTCGGATCACGCCTCTGATCCTCATCAGTTCCCTTAGTTTTTTGTTGGGATATTCTCCCCAGAAGCTATTGCTTCTATACAAAAAACCTTTCATACCCAAATTTCTCTTGTAACAAAGCGAAGTACTTAGCTGACCAACGACATAAACTGCATAAGAATTTCGCTGGTGCGTCACTTCGAGGTTAACAAGGCATTAATATGTATAAAATCACTTATATGATGTTAATGAAGATGTTCCTACTTTTTAAATAATTGCCACAGAGTAACATAAATTCTTAATTACAACCACTTCGCTTGCAAAATGGAACGGGGGCCGATATTGAATATTTTCTGGAAAAACATATTTTACTCGCCAATAATCCCCATATCTTTCTTGTCATAAAGACTATAGGATGAATTTATCCAGACCTAGAAAAATCGTATAATATTCTCAGAATATTTGCGGATTTCAAATTTCGAAAAAAAAAATTACATTTTCTGAACTCATTTTACATTCCAAAAGCTACCAATGTTCCGTTTTTTTTCGTTTTATTCAAATCAAAATCTTTTATGAAATATTAACATAGGCTAACGTCTCTTTTTACACGACACTGACCTACTACAGTCATACGACCGTTATTAACAAATCGCTCGCAAATATTGAAATGGGATACGTATTCGAAATTGACACGCGTAATTTAATACCTTCATTCTTTACTAAAACCAAATTCTTAATTTATGCGCACATTCGTCGTACTTGTGAAAAGTAATAAATAAAAAATACAGTGGCCAACAAAGAATCCAATATTTCAATTATACAAATGTACAATGACACCTTCTTCGGGGTTTAGGCTATTTTAAATTCGGCTAACGCAAATGCGGAGCTATAAAATTAAACTAATAAATGTAACTAGACATGTCTGAATGTATAGACGAACATATGGATTCAATTAGAGTGTTTCTATGCTAACGAACCAAATCTAAACGAAGAACACTTTCGGAATAGTAATATGTTCAAATTTTTAGAATTATGAAACCACTTAAATTTGGATGGTAATTAGTCGATAACAGTGCTGTCTAAACGATTGGGACAGAAGAATTTTCTAACTTCTCTATAACAAATAGTTGTAGAAATTAAACTAGAAATTATCAAACATAAGAATCTCTATGTAGCGTTTGATTCTATATTGATCACATAAATTCTACAATACTCTAGCTCATATTACATTTTATTTGCTGTACACTGGCATATAAGGCAGGCGTATATCCACACTCCATGATGCGAACATTTTTGGGGCGGGTATACGCGTGTCTTCCTCGGAAAAGTCTAGTCGACTTAGCATACTATGGTTCGGAGGCGTCGAATTGTTGACCTAGACGTCATAGGAGCACAATTCATAACAATGCCATCAGCCAGAAAAGTACAGGTTTAGCATGTCCGGAGATATCCTACCAACTTAGGGAACTCCCTGGTCTTAGACCTACTCCAACAAGAAACAGAATTTAAAAAGATTTTGCTGACCCCCTGGAGCATGGATAAGGAAAAATTAGTAATTAAAACTGTGCATAAGCAGTCTCCGAGACCATACAGTTTTACAGATACAGATTTTCTAGACAAGCGCATATCATTCTGACCAAAAATTTGGATATTGCAATGTTTTCAATTTTCTACACAAAATTCCCTATTTATCAACAAACGTTATAGATATTCAGCTAAGCCAAGAGATTTGGTTCAATTTCTCGTATCTTCAAATAAAAATCACCAAATTTGTTTCTTTCAATTGATATTAAATTTGTCAGTATTTTTTCCTTAGCCAGTAAAATAATATGCAAGATAAATTTTCTATTAAAGAGCTTGAAAAATATTTTATTATTTCAAAATTTATTGTAGATTTTCAAAAGAGAACATAAATAAAAATATAATATAAAAAACTGTATATAACAAAAAAGGTGATTTTACAAAACAACAAACTCGAACTAATTTAATATAATTAATATGCATATATATTGAAGAGCATATTCTCATTTGAATTTCTTGTTAATTTAAATCAACTTTGGTTTTGTTGTCTTAAATAAAAATGTATATATTTTTTAAAAAATCGATGAGATTTCTTATAAATAATTGTTTGTGACTTTTGTGAAAAAAAAAACATAAGGTAATCAATATGAGTTAGTTAATGGTTGATATTTATAAAATATGCATTACAAATAAATTACTTTGTGCTACAAATAAGTTTCATTTATAAATTATATATAGCGAGACAACCTGAATAAATAAAATATTTATTGATTTGTTGTTGATGGTTAAGCAATTTCATTCAACAAACATCTTCAAATACGTACATATATATGTATACATATGTATATGTATAGCTATATTCAATTACAATTTGTTTACTACCTACATACACCTAGCAAAATCTATAAAACAAAATAAAAAAATTACACTGCATTCAATTTGTTTTCATGTAAAAAAATGTTACATACATAGTCCATCTAATTTAGTATCAGTCAAATATTTGTGATGTTTGTTTGTTATATGGCAAGAATGAAAAACAAAACTTAAAAATTAATATTTTTGAAACATTGTCAAATTGTATGTCGATGTAACAGTTTCTATCAAAATAGAAACTTCTTATTTGTGAAGAGAGCCTCGATTTTGAATATAAAAAGAGAATATAAATAATAGTGTGAATTTTTAAAGGTTTTTCTATTGTATGGATTTAGTCCTCTTTTTCTTCCTTGGCAGATTCGAAAAGTTTTTGGCACATGTGTGTTAGAGATTCTGAAAAGAAATTGGAAAAAAACAAAAAATAATATTAGAATGTTTAGTTTTTATATAATTATCAATTATTGGCATATGCAAATGTATATTTTAAATAGAGTATGTATTCGACAGTCATGTTAAAGCCATGTCTGCGTTCGGCATTCCTGCAAAATTAATACGGCCATCAAGATAACTTTAGATGGCACAAGGTCAGCATTTTAAGTCGGACGTATCGGAGCCATTTAGTACCGAACGAGGATTCTTGCAAGGTGACAGTTTGTCGTATCTCATATGAGACGCAAAGGTAAACAGAAATGACACTCTGTACACCAAACAACACATGTTACTCACCTACTCCGATGACATCGATATAATGGGTCGAAATTTGCGAGCGGTAACAGCCACATTCGAATAAATTGAGAAGCAGTCTGCCAATGTGGGTCTGGCAGTAAATGGCGACAAGACCAAGCTGATGGTATCAACGCGCAAGACGTCCAGTAGACTCGGACAAACTGTGGAACTTGAGAACTACAGCTTCGAGGTAGTCAACAAATGTATATGCCTTGGTACCATTATATATAAAACTAATGACATCAGTTTTGAAATTCGGAGAAGGTTAGTGTTGGCCAACACATGCTACTATGGTCTGAGTAAGCAATTCAAAAACAAGGCCACCTCTCGCCAGACCAAACACACACTCAACAAGACGTTGATGCTACCCGTGGTGTTATATGGATCTGAAGTATGGGTACTTACGCAATTAGATGAGGTAACTCTTGCAGAATTCGAGAGAAAATTTCTCCAAAATATCTATGGGCCGATCTGCGTTGACGGTGAATATCGCCGTCGAATGAGCCATGATTTGTACCATCTATTCTCTGACATCGGTATTGTCTAACGTATCGAGCTGCAGCGACTACTGTTGATGTTAAATTGTAAACAAAGTACAGGTCGCATTTTTGATTCGAATTGGGAAAAATCGGTTCAGATTTAGATATTGCTCCCATATATAATTTCGTCCGATTTAAAGAAAATCGTGCACAAAAGTTGCTATATATCTTTCGATTTCTTGAATGATGTGTGTTAAGTTTCGTGAATATCGGTACAGATTTAGATATAGCTCCCACATATAAGTTCGTACGATTTAAGGTAAATGGTGCGCCAAAGTCCCTAAATATTTTTCGATATGCACGAAATTTGGCATAGGGTACAGAATTGAGTCTGGAACGATGTGTGTTAAGTTTCTTGAAAATCGGTTCAGATTTAGATATAGCTCCCATATATATTTTCGTCCGATCTAATAGAAATGGTGCACCAAAGTTCCTGTGTATCTTTCGTTAAATTGCATGTCAATGTTCTTTCGAAAAGGCGACGTCTGTTAGGGGACTATGTAGAATATACCCAAAAAGGTGAAGGGTATCATATAGCCACCTCATTGAAATTCTCTCTTTTCTTAGGCATAAAATAAAATTTCGAGACATCATAAAGATTGTCTATTGTTGAAATACCAGCATTTGCAATTATAGAGATCCAAACGGGGAATTACATATTAAAGAATTCTACGAATAATACTCAACATTAGATTTCAAATAAGCAAGCTATTAATAAGCCATATTCATATATGTACTTCACACGTGTTTTACGTCTGCCTGACTATGAAGAGGCTTGAACAAATTTTAAATGACACTCCTGGGAAAGTTATAGAAAACAAACAGGCGATAAAGATTTCACACGAATGGAAGCGGAGTTGTCACATTGACGCGACAGACTACAACATTGCGGTAAACCTCTAAATAGCTACACACGAATAAAATTTCATAGTCCAATTCCCCACAGAATATTGTTACCACTGTAATCAATGAAATTCAATATTAACATATATATCATACCTGTCATATTCAGTAACCACTGTGGTTTAGATTTCCAAACAACACCAACATAATAGAATGGAATTCCAACAAGTGTTATTAGAACACCCATACCCACTTCATATGGTGCTACATATATTGGCACAACAACCAAAAAGGCACAAATCAATACAAACACTATGGGTATCCATAACGCAACCTATAAAATATTAGCAAAAAGATTCATTAATTTCGATTAAACAAAATAATATATATTATAAAGGCAAAACAAACAAGCAAAAAAAACTATACTTACTTTAATTGGTCTCTCCTGATTGGGTCGGGTATAACGGAAATACAACACCGCCGATACTGACAACATAATAAAGAAAGATTCCACAATACTACAGTATGTGATTAGCACATAGACATCACTGCACAACAACATAATAATTGACAATATACACTGTAAATAAATTGGATAACAAAAGCGGAAAAGAGAAAAGATTATTTCAGTGATACGGATTTATTTGTTGATAGCAATCGGTATTTCAAAGAACTTACCAGAAAAACTAACGATGGTACAGGAGTAAACTTTTTAACACTTATGTGAGACAATATGGCCGGCATATGACCGTTACGAGCACCAACAAAACACATACGCGACGAAGTCATTATGTGAACTGAAAGGCCACCAAAGGCAGAGATTGCCACCATCATGGGAATAATAATTGACCAACCACCCAATATTTTGTCGCCAAATGTCTGAAAAGTAATAATGGTAATTAATTATATCCACTTATCGTGTTAGTCCAGATTATTATTCTTACCACAGCAATTGCATCGGAGGCAATCATTTCCGATGCACTTAATACAGCCAAATATGCCATATTAGCCAAAACATAAATTATTGTCACCAAAGGTAGCGATATATAAATGGCACGTGGTAAATTCTTGTAAGGATCGCGTAATTCTTCAGTCATGAAATTCAAATAATTCCAGCCGGCATAAGAAAATATACCCGAATAAAATGCAACTGATAATTTGCCAGGATCGGTTTCTGTATTGGCAAAGGCATCTGTAAAGTTTTCAACGTGACCTAATGGAATGGAAAAAAAATGATTAGTAATTTACTTCCTTTCATTTGATGGGTTTTAAAACTTACCCATAAACATCCATGTCAAACCGATAATAATAATCAAAACCAATGCCGCAATCTTTGTGAACATAATAATATTTTGCATTTTTGTTGTAACCTTCATGTAAGAGGAATTTAAATAGGTTAGGAAGCAAATTGTAGCGGCTGCTAACAATTGTTTGGCAGCAGTTGGTATTTCACAATCAGCATCAAAGAATGGTTGCAGAACATACGAGGCAAATGTTAGACCCATAATTGCATTTGTTGTTGGTCTGCAAGTAAAAAAATAAATATTAAAGAGCATTGAAGTGATTTAAAAGAAACCAGTAAAAGTTGGACGGGACTGACTATATGATACTCTTCAGCACTTTGGATACATACATTTCGTGAAAATTGAATTAACATAGACTCTTCGGTGCACCATTTACATAAAATCGGACTAAAATATATATATGTAGGAGCTATATCTAAATCTAAACCAATTTTCACAAAACTTCGCATACATCAATATGAATCTATTTCAGTATACTGTGCATTTTTTGTGTGAATCGAGCAAACAGTGGGAGTTTGGTGCACCATTTAGATAAAATCGGGCGAAAATATATATCGGATCTATATCTAAATCTCAACCGATTTCAACAAAATTTTACAGACATCAAACAGGACTTAAGTCGGTACGCTGTGTAAAATGTTGATTCGGTCAAAATCGGACGATACATCAATATGGACCTATTTCAATACGCTGTGGAAAATGTTGTATCAATCGGACAATCCTTGGGAGTTTGGTGCACCATTTACGTAAAATCGGACGAAACTATATATGGGAGCTATATCTAAATCTAAGCCGTTTTTTTTACAAAACTTCGTAAACATCAGTACGCTGTGCAATCCATTTATATAAAATTAAGATAAAATCGGGCAAAAAATATATGGGAGCTATATCTAAATCTAAGCCCATTTCCACAAAATTTTACAGACATGAAACTGGACTGAAGTCGGTACGTAACTATATATGGGAGCAATATCTAAATCTGATCCAATTTCCACGAAACTTCGTATACATCAATATGGACCTGTTTCAGTACGATGTAAAAAATTTTGTATCAATCGGACAATCCTCAGGAGTTTGGTGCCCCATTGACATAAAATCGGATGAAACTATATATCTAAATCTGAACCGATTTCAACAAAACTGCACGAACATCAAACTGGACTTAAGTCAGTACGTCGTGCAAAATTGTTTGAATCGGACAAATATTGGGAGTGTGGTGCACCATTTACCAAAAACCGGAGGAAATTATATTTGGGAGTTATATCTAAATCAGAATCGATCTCCGCATAACTTTGTATACATCAATATGGACCTAATTAGTACGAGATGCAAAATTTTATCTCAATTCGACAAATATTGGGAGTTTGGTGCTTCATTTAAGTACAATCGACCGAAAATATATATGGGAGCTAATCTAAATCTGAACCGATTTTCTCCAATTTCAATAGGGTTCGTCCTTGGGCCAAATAAACGAGCTGTGCCAAATTTCATCCAGTTCGCATCATAAGTGCAATCTTTGCTCACAAAAATACATGGACGGACGAACAAGCATAAATCGACTCCGAAAGTGATTATATGCATAATCCCAAAAGGAACAATGTGTCTATCTCGTTTCCTTTTGGCTGTTACAAACATATGCACAAAGACATAATACCCTGTACAAGAGTGTGGTGAAGGGTATAAAAAGTTATGCGGCATTTATTAACCTTGTAATTTTATTTGCTTTAGTTTTGGCCACCATATGCATATATTGTGTTAATTGTTATGGACGTAAAATAAATTTTACTCCAATGTTTATATCGTATAGCATAAAATTGCAGCTGATCTAATAGTTTTATACGAGGTTTTCTTAATTACTGTAATTTGCCATAGATTGTTAAAAACAATTATGTACCAAGTATGTATGGTCACTACGAAATAAATGTTGTACAAATTAATAAAATTCATCATTCAAAGGTACGAGGTCTGATAAAAAAATAACTGTTAACTTAATTCTAAGTTTTGATATTTGATTCTGTGTCATATATGTTGCTAATATCAAAAATAGACGTAAAACCAACAGTGTCGGTTCGGATGTTAAATATAGTGTAATTATAATCCGCTACAATGGAATCCTGGAATATTTATGTTTACATAATTTTCAAATTTTCTAATCTATATACATAATTATTTTGAACTTTATTGTGATTTTAATAACCTGACAACCTGATTTATAGAATGGGATCTCCTCAGATATTTCGAAATGTTGCAAACAGGATGACAGAAAGTGACAACATCGATGATAGACCATGAAGCCATATTACAATGAATTTCTAAAATATTTAAAATATATCACTGGCGTGGACTATACAATGAGTGATGTCAGAAATGATACATTCATCTTTTGTTGAATCCATAATAGTTTTCATTTCCAGTAATTAATTATTAGTAATCTGACCTCTAATTGCGTAATTAGATCATCTTCTTTATCGTAATAATAAACTTTAAGATCTTTTAGTTTTTTTGCAAATGGCAGTTAATAAGAAAATTAGCAAAAACAGAAAGAAAGATTGGTGGGCGATCAAGTTATTCAACAATTACATTTTTAGGGTTGAAAGTTGGCATATCTAAAACCTTCAAAAAAATTTTTCTAAGACGTGATGCTCACATTTCCTTTGCATGTTATGTAGCAAATTTAAAACATTTTTTCTACTAACTTAGCATAGTTTTCAATTGAATGCAGTTGACAATGGAATTGTGAAGATCAATTGTAAAGCGTAAGATCAACGAGACATAACAACAATTGCAATTAAATCGAAATGCATCAATTGCGTACACTAGAATTAAGACTAGTTCAGCAGAGGTTACTTCACTTAAACGTGAATGAACATTCCTTGAGACCGCGATAAAATAAATACCATTGTAACAATTAAACATATATGCATATTTGTTCTCTCATATCTACACACATATATTTTATCAAAAGAAAAAAGGAAATTTCCAAAGAAATTAAACTGGAAAATGGAAAATAACTTACACAAATATCATCATTGCATCCCAAAGATACAGAAATGCGGGCAAAGAACCATAGGCTTCCAATATATATGCATAATCACCACCAGATTGTGGAATTGATGTACCCAATTCGGCATAGCAAAGGGCGCCAATCATCGACAACAGGCCACATAAAATCCAAATAATCAATGAAGTTCCAACGGTCTCTACTTGCTGAATGACACCTTTGGGTGATATAAAAATACCCGAACCGAAAATGATACCCAATATAATGGCCACTCCTTCCAATAGACCCAAACGTTTTTTCATCTGAACTCGACTGTCATTGCTTTCCACTGATTCGCCACGTTTGTCATGATTATCACCACTGCCAGCTCCTTGAGATTTCGATGTCAAGCCAATTGGAGGAGCTGTTTCTTGATTTGGTGTTAACAACACCATCTCACTGGTGGGCGATTGTAATTCCGGCACTGGCATTGTCGAGCCGTTTTTTTTTTATCAAAAAAGGCGGGTGCGTGTACGTTCTGCTTAACGTATGACGTTCAACTAAATCGGCTATTAACTACTGCTCCGTTGCCTCCACAATCAATAAACAGTATGCTCATATATCAAGATGTGTGCGTGTGAATGTGTGTACTATATCAATTTAGGTAAACAATGCCAGCAGTTGATTGATGCCCGCAGATTGTCCGCTCTCTTACAAACAAACCGAAAATATAAATATTAGTTGGAACCGGCTAACTGGTATCGGAGAACGGTGGCCACCTTAATTCATTCAACTCTCTATTTACGTTTTTGTTTTGCTACGCTCATTCGTTCGTTCGTTACTAGGCCAAATGAATATCTCACTAAATAAACGACCTCATTGGACGCTGATGCTTTGCTCATCAACCCCTCCTCAAGGTGGTGGGTGGGTGATTGGTTGGTTGCGTGTCGTCTGTGAATGCTACAGCAGCTATGCAAGTGGGCATAAAATTCTTCTTCGTTTTAGGTTAGAATTTTATCGTGTATGATAGAAAAGCGCGATATTCACAATATTTTCACACAAATTCCAATTTGTTGCAATTCCAATTGTTTATTTTCTTAAACTGATAATAAATATCCACAGAGTTTATTTAACATTTGCCGAATTTATATGACTTTGCGAGGTGATAAGAAACGGAACGTAAACACAAGATACAATACACGCGACCAAAATGACAAGTTGTGTCACACTATGCAAGGCATGTTGATAAGGTCACAGCTGTTCTGATGTTAAATGTCAAAAATGTAGACGAAGCGAATAATAGATATGTAGTTCGCTTGGGTTGAGGCGAAATATTTTACATAAACTTTTTGAACAGTAAGGTAGAGAAAATATCGCATAATTCTTTAAAAATTAAGTACAAAATTTTGTTGTTAAATTTGTTGGTAAAAAAAATACTTGTTGATGCATTCATATTGTGAATTCCAATCACAATAATATTATTCAAAAATAAATTTAAAAAACAGGGTTGCCATTGTTATCATCGCCATTGTTGACATAGTAAAGGCATAAGCAGAATGGATCCTTTGAGCCATTCGTCGCGTTATTATTTATCGAAAATGTAACAACCAATCGTTACGCGAGTCTGTGTCGAGCCCTTAACTGTTATTCAAAAGGAAATTTGTTCTAAAATTTAAATTGACTAAAAAAGAAAAAAAAAATTCCCAACTGTTGAGTTCTAGAAAAAATTAATTTTAGACCTAAAAAAATATATTTTTAATCCTATGCCCTGTTTTTGATATAAACATATATTTTTCAAAATTCACAACCTAATAATTGCCTGAAAATATATATTTTTATATCCTTTATAGCCTTGAGTAATACCCGACATTTGTTCTGGAAAATATCCAACGATTATTCACTAAATTTCTATAAAAGCCAAAAAGTATGCAACAACTATTTGTTTTTATGCGCTATAACACACTGTGGCAGGAGGTTTATGTCTGTAACGTTTAAAAACAAGATAGACCCAGATTTAGATATTTTTTTCTGCAATTTTAAAAAGCCATGCAAGTCAATGCTGCTCAAAGTCTTGAAGGACAAGGTGATATTCACTCATCCATTCAGAGGTATTATGAAAATTTCCCTCACTATGCAATGAAACCCAAATGTCCCGGAAGAATAATTTATTGCGACTTATAGCGTTTGACAGTCTTTATCAGCTATTCAGGCTGTAGCTCTAATATTATTACTGGAATATGCCCGCTACTTCGTTAGTATTAAAACATATCAAAATATATTATTTTTTCACAGAGAAGCTAATCAATATCGACCATTTTTGGATCATTTAGTACATTGCACGTATTTCAAAAATTCTGACCCCAACACAAATCTAGCTCTAAACTAAATTTCATGTTTCGAGCTCTGTAGTTTCACCCAAATCCAATTTACCTACCCCATAAATCCAATAAAAAAACATATTTTCAAATTCCAATTTCAAATTTAGCACACATAAGTACTAATTTCCAAAACTTCCTACATATACCAACCCTACACACCAACAGTAATCTTAATTCCAATTTTCAGGATTCCAGCTCGATCCTATCAAATTCAGTATAATTTAGTAAATATACAGTTGTGTTCATAAAAATAGTAGTGGAGTTGATCAATGTACAAATGTCACTCAAAAAATATTCAGTTAGATTTGTTGTCGCTTTCTTGAATTTCTTTAGTTTCGTGAAGTTCTTGAAATAATTACTGTGCAATAAAATAGTAGTGGTAGAAGTGAATGGTAATAAAACAACTAAATTAAACCAAAAATTAGGAAAAGTGAGTGTTTTTCGAACAAAAACTATATTGAGATTTGATATTTCAATTACTTACTATTAATTTACATAATTGTATTAATGTTTAGCGGGTAGAGGAAAACATTGCACGGCTGAGACAAGAGAATTATTAATAATGCTGAGAAATGAAGGAAAAACGTACAACGTTCGAAATTGAGAATATCGTTCGATACAGTGATACAATGATATTTAACGTAATAGGAAATAAGAAAAAGCTTGAACAACCTAGCCGTGTCTAGTACGGCTTTAAATATACACATCAGTGATGTGACTGTACGCCGGAGATTAATCGAAAATAATGTATAAGCCAGAACTCCTAGAATGGTCCCCCTTTTGACAAGGAAGCATGCCAACGCTAAGCTGAGTTTTGCAAAATCTCATATAGGCTGGCCACTAGAAAAGTGACGTAACATATTATGAACAGATGAAACAATAAATGTTTTATATGGCGGAACAGGCTTCATACAGAATGGTCCATGGAATACCAACATCAATACACAGCCAAAACTGTAACGCATGAGTATAATGGTTGGGCCTGTTTTTCATATTATGGCGTAGGAATAATCCCCTTAAATAAAGGCCCTAGACGCATTTCCAATTATATTTCGGTTCTATGATTAGAGCATGACAAGTTTTGACCACAGTGTAATCTCCATTATTAATCTCCGTAACTCATAAATCGATAGTTACTTTGACTAAATATACTGATATTAAGAGAGAAGTGAATGGTGTAACAAGCATATTGAAAAGCTACGAAGCTTCACAAAACTAAAAGAAAATACTAATTTAAGTCAGTAGTATGAAATCAGTATAGTGTTTCCTATTAAGAATTAATTGATTGCGAATCATATGAACTAAGGGTGTAAACGAAAATTTCGTAAAATAAGTCGATATGTTCATAAAGATTCTGGTCGTATATATTATTTATTTCTAAAATTATTTATTTATTCATTTCCCATGTTGCAGGAAGCATCATTATCAATGCCTAACTTTTTTTGTCTTTGCAAAATAGTCAGGCTGTATCCCACATTGTTGTTTTTATAAAAACAACTATTTATTAGTGGGGAAAGTATGGTATTGTCCGCCAAGGGGCCAGACAAGGAAGACTATAGTTTCGGATCTCCCCACTGATCCTCATCAGTTCCCTTAGTTTTTTGTTGGAGATATTCTCCCCAGAAACTACTACTAGCTACTAATAGCTTCTTTACAAAAAACCTTTTAAAAAATCATCATGTGATGATTAATAAATACATCTATTAAAAAAAAATCATCATGTGATGATTAATAAATACATCCATTTTTTTTACAAATTTATGGTTTTCCGTTTATTTCCAATGCAGCATTAATTCTAAAAATAACTTAAATATATGAAATATTCGCGAAAACAAAACGCTCATTTCAAAATTAAAAAAGGTGTGTGTGTGTATGTGTTTTTTTTTCGGTTGTTGGTTTATATGTTAGAGAAAATGTTAGCCAATAGTCCTCTTACGCATAATATTTTGTTTTTTTTCTTTTTTTACTTTTTAAAGTCACTGCAAACTCTTTTCAAAAAAAATGTATGTAACGACATTTATTTTTGTGGTAACACAATATGTATGTACAATATACATAGTATGTAAGCACAACAGGAGTTTTCACAAAGACTGTACTTATCTAAGTGGTTGCTTGTAAGTTTACTTAATAATTGAATTGAAATGAAAAAAAAAACTGTATAATATGTATTTATATATAATATAATAGTTATATAGTGTGTGTGTGTATTAATTAATATGTTCGTTTTTTAAAGAATTAATTAGTATAATTCTATTGATACGAATTTTGTTGTTGTTTCAAACAGCAGTGCTAAGTTAATATTATCATATAAGTATGTATCTATGTATAATAAGTATATCATCAATAAAATTTCGTTAAATTACAAGACTATTTTTAACATTCAAGAAATATATTTCTTTTTGTTTGTTGGTTTGTTTGTCAATATGCATTTTTATCAAAAAAATTAGTTTAAGCTTGAAACTACTTGTATAACTATGTATGTCTGGATCTGTGTGTGTGTGTGAATATTGTGGTATCAGTATTCCATGGACAACAAGGACAAATGTTGTTCTTGACGAGTCCGTCATTATAACTATGTTCCACGCTAGACGCCAAAGGACATGGACATACTGTTTGCCTCGCTGTGTTCAGTGTCGTTGTTCAACATTTCAGAAGCACCATCCAATTGCTCTATAATATCATCCATGGTGTCACCTCCATTGGAATCTTGATCGCCGGCAGTATCTGATACAGATTCACCACTAGTTAAATTGAGATTGGCCGCAGAAATAGTTTGTTGCTGTTGTTGAATTGGCTGCTGCTGGACATTACCCTTCGATGACAAGGTAATGGTACGTTGCAGTGTATTGCTAGCATTGAAAATGTTGACGAAGCCCTTCATCGATGCAGCTTGGTTAGAATTTGTGGGTACCACAACTAGTTTACTGGTACCCCCAGACGAATTTCCAGCCGTTACAATTTGATTGTGTGTCTTGGAGAGGCCGCTATTCGATGCCACAATGGTCACGGTTTTCGTTACGGCCGACAAATTGGAGGGGTTCGATGGCATTTGGACGGTAACAGCTTTGCCGCCAAGCGTTATTGTTTTCTGATGTAGCTGCCCGCCTCCGGCGCCTGGTTGTGATGTGATCGTAATTGGCCTGACCGAACTCGTTGCGACGTTGTGTATCATTTTAACACCGCCCGGTGTAATCACATTTCTGGCAATGGTAGCTGTCGGTACGGTAGTCGTCATTGTGTCCACAACCGATACCAAGTTGGAAGATGAAGCGTTGGTAACCACACTTCCCGAGGGAATGGCACGTATGCCTGTCCCTGTGGTCACGATGATTATCTGTTGATTAGTCAACTGCTGCCCTTGTTTATTCGTGATTACAAATGCCGATTTGCCCGATACGCTGGATGGCATTTTACTGACTTGCAAGATGTTTGAGTTCTTCATGATGACATTACTGCCGCTGAGTGTGTGTGGCGATACCAGTTTGACCACATTTCCGGGCATAATCTGTTTCTGTTGTCCACTGGTTGTGGCTCCACTGACGTTGCCGCTGAAAATAAATTGTGTCTGTTTGGGCTGAGATGTGTTCGATAATGTTGCACCGGTGGAAGACTGAATGCCAGCACCCTTTGCCACGTTGATATTGATTTTCGGGAAGGTTTGTACAGCCACCCCACCGCTGCTAGTCTTAACCAATTGAAATTGTACATTAGAGTTCAGCGTTAAAGGTTTTTGTATGATGTACTGTTTGCCTCCTATGGTAGTCGAAGTGGTGCCACCTGCAGAACTTGCTGCCGCAACCACCTGATTGCCACTGAGTTGATTTACGGCCGAGAGCTGTGTGACTGCTGATGTGGGAACAGTAGCTCCAGTTTGTGTGGCAAGTCGTAATCCACTCGAGCCTGAAGCAACCAGTCGAACTGTAGAGTTAGTTGTATTCACTGGTACAGCACCCGACTGGACTGAAGTAACTACTCGAATATTGGTGCCCGACGCTACTCCTCCAGTACCTGTCACTGTTGTACCCGACGTAGAACCAGCCGGAGTTAGCACCATTTGTGAAGAGCTAACAGGCGAGACAATAGAATTGACTGCACTCGTGACTGTGGTCGTGGTTCTGGACACCACTGCTGTGGGTCGAATTTTTTGCAGAATTGTAGTCACATTCGATGTGCCAGTATTTAGAACACCAGAACTTTGAACTTGGCCCAGATTTCCGGCAACAACGGTTGTGGCAGTTACCGCCACTGATGCATTGCCAGCTGCAGTACTGGTTGTCTGCTTGATGTATGTACCAGTAGAGCCCAAAACAGTTGTTCCTGTCGATTCCAATTGTGACCGCGCCGAATAGTTAGTGGTGCTGGTTGCTGTCTGGCTAACAGGTGTTTGTCCCGCTCCTATACTAGCCACTGCACTCTGTATTTTGCTTGCCATTGTGGGCTGATATCCACCTACCATATTATTGATGCCGGGAGATGATGCAGTAACGGCTGCACCGCCAGCAGCTGCATTTGTAGTTAGTGGGCCAGTAGGAGTAGTGGCTCCGGCAGGCATAATCGACACCGTTGTTGGTATTTGAATTTTATGGAACTTGGATGGTGGCTGACCTGTGTTAGGAGTTCCTGCCGGCACAGCTGCTGCAGAATTTCCATTTGCCATCATCGACGAAGGTGTTGTGCTACTGAATGGCATCGGTGTAGAAGGCTGTGGTGGCGTTTGCTTGGCTGGAACTGGTATGGGCTCTATTTTCTGGATCTGTAGTTCATATGCTGAGGCAAATGTTGTTGCTTGCCAGCAGATTTCCAATGCATGTGTGGATGCCCTTACCAAAGCCACCTTGACGGCGTACAGAGGCCTATCTACATCAAGATACCATAGGTCTTTGCAACATACCTGGTTGTTCCACGCCTTGCGATAACCATCCCGGCCAGACCATACATACAATCGACTGTGGATGCCAATAGCGCAGTGACCGGCACGAGCACGCGGTACATTATCCTCTGCCGCTTCCATGTTGATATTCTGCCATGTCAGTGTGTCCAAGTTCAGAACGGCCAAGGTGTTTGTGCATTTCCATTCCCTTTCGATGGTGGTCTTGGAATCGTCCGCCACCAGAGGTACCCAACCACCAAAGACGTACATCTTGTTATTGATCATGGTAGCACTGTGCAGGGAGCGGGGCAATGGGGCTCGTCCTCGTGTTTGTGGCTTGGACCAAGTCATCGAGTCAATGTCCAATAGCCATAGGTCGCCCAAACGACAACCGCTCATTCCGCCGTATATAAGTAAATACAGTTTTCCCGATGTTTTGCAGGTAAACGAGACACCGGTGTGCGACTCTCGGGGTGGGGGATTGTCGCCATACGTCTTGGGCACAATCCATTTCCCGTTGTAGCTGTGGGCAGCTCTCGTTTCCAGAATATACAAATCGTTCAGATACTTGGGAATATTGTTTTTCGGGTCATCCGATTCGTTGGCCAAACCACCAAATAGAAAAATACGTTCACCTACCAGTGTAAAGCTGTGGCCCAAACGAGGACACGGTGGCATATCGTTATCTGGAGGATCCGGTTGCATTTTCCGCCACTCCCACTTCGTGGCCTGCAGCTCGTGCAATTCATTGGAATACTTTCCGTATTCGATCATACCGCCGAAAATGAACATACGAGTCCCGTCACACACAAATCCATAGGCTGCACATCCAGGCGGTACATCGCCCTTCATGGCCGGTACAAACCACTGGTTGGTGATGGTATTGTAGACATGTAGTTCGTCCACAATGCCCTCGTTGCCTCCTCCGAACACGACCATCAGCTCCTTAATATTAATGGCGCGGTGGCCATGACGTGGTCGGGGTTGAGGTCCTGTGGTGTTCAATACCCGCCGCCAGGAATACTTTTGTTGCCAGGCGCCCTGGTTGTCAACACTGCCATCGTCCGTGGTATATTTGTTGCCCGTTTCTTCCAGCATATTTTCTCTATTTCTGTATAGCGGCCCAATTCGCTAATAGTCCATCAATTTTTACCAATTTCAGCCAACAGAGAGATTGCTGTATCTGTTGTTATTATTACACTCTAAACTGTGTTTACAACAGTGTTGTTAACTTTTGGCGGTAATTATCGATGCCAATTGGCTACGATTTGCCATTCACAAAACGCAATTGGAGGAAAAGCGTCGCACTAATTTTTGTTATCCTTTTCGTGGAATCGGTAATTTGCAATGCTTTTTGCAATAGTTAACGTTGCTAATTTATTCTGTACGTGTGCCGAAGGTATATCAGCACCTGATTCACTTCATTTGAGTGTGAAATCACCGTCTTTCATGAGTAGCAAAAATTTGCGATTTTGTTAAATATTCTCACAATAGAGGTTGCGAAATGCAGCATCCTTGGCGTTGTAACGGTCGAACTCTCAATAATTCAATGATACAATTGCACTATTCCACCATATATATATTTAACAATTGTGTTCTTTGGGATTTAATTATAATTTTATGTTATAATTTTTAATTTTTTGTTTATTTAACTCTCGCCGAACTTGTTTTCACTGCTGCGGAACGCTTTTTCACTTTTCGATAACATTGACATCACAGATTTGCTGTACCTATCTATCGTATTCGTATGTCACGACATGTCAAATTGTTCGTGTATGCGAATGTGTGTATTAATCTATAGAGGCAACCATTATTGGAATTTTCTTTTTTTCAGAGTTGTAACAAATATTACTAAATCCTTGAAGCTTTCCAAGCTGTTAATGCTACTATTGGCACATTCTTCTGAAAGTTTTCCGACTTTATTCACAAATACTGTTTGTTTTGTTGGCGATAAATGCTATAAATTATATAACTTAATTGTTTATATTGAAAGTGATAAAAATTCAACTCTGTTGGTTTAATCAACTGTAGGCAAGGGCTATTTTACACGGTCGTCTTTTGATTTTGGTTAGCGTCTTTATACACAATATTATGTTTTGTATTTGCCTATTTAGTATAAAAATATGATTCTATTACACTTGTTATTATACATTGAACTTTGGCGGATAATTAAATTTGCATATAGGAAATATTCAGCAAGACTTCTCTTTGCAAGCTGACAATATTTTATTTATTTATTTCTTTTTTTGAGAAATTGATCTATTTGTCATATTTTAGATATAAAAATGCAATTAGAACAAGAATTTTATATTAATATAATAAAAATGAAAATAATCATTTAAAATATTTCAATATAATTTAAAACAAAATTGTAAGGCAGCTTGCCAGTCTCAATGTGAATATATGAATTTAGCTTATTACTTAAAATTAACAATAAATATTTAATGAAAATTAATTATCTCATGAAAAATTCCCAATAAATTGTAAATTTCCCACCATAGGCGATAAAATATCAGAGTTTTGATATATAAGTAATCATTCAATCAATTTTTATCTAGTAGTCATAAAGTACACTTTCTGAGAGATAGTGTAAATGTCCCTGTAATATACTACTATTTCACAGTTGTAGCTTTCAGCGTTGAATTTATCGTACATGTATCGTTCATGTCAATATGATATGCCTCGCCTTGCGTACACTTGGTGACGCCATATTGGATTTTGTTTGTGTGCAATAGTACATGCGCATACATATAGATAAAGTCCAGTTTATGTGTGTACCTATAGAAATCATTGATGTTATATGTCAATGGCTTTTTTGTATAATACCAGTGCTGCCAACATGCCAGAGAGGAAAACTAGAAAAAATTGATGGTTTCTTAAAATGTAACGTACGTCTAACGTCATACGCAGGCCAATTGCGTTACGTAAATAAATGTTGGCGTTCAAAATGTAGAGTTTGTCAATTATTGGTTGTGAGTTGCATTGTATAAAACGTCAATTTATAAAGGAATAAATGTCAAATTTTATTTTGTATGCCGTTCTTCTTTATTTTTTGCATTAAATAATGACAACTTAACATGATATGCCTGAGGTCCTCGAAAGTGTTTCACCCTTAAGCTGTTCATAGTTTCTTTGTTTCAATTGTTTATTTATGGTTTTATATACAATTTTGAACTAAGTCGCCAACATCGCCACTTGATCCAAATTGAAAAATTTATTATCTTTATTCTGACTATAGTAAGAAACTTTTTTAGCAAATGGAAATAAATATATAACAAACATAAAATGTATAGAAACCATTCCCTATTTTAATTTTTTAAATTTTTTGCGGAAGAAATATTTGCTCTGTTCCAAAACCTAAGAAAATGTTTTCGTTTTCCCTTTACGAATTTAACAAAGTTTTCAAACTTTTTTTCGACGAACACTCAAATGATTAAGGGCTAAGAAGAATGGTCGCGTTACGCGTATTTTGTTATCGCGTTAACGCGCGCAAAAAGTTAAAAAATATTTAATTCCGAAGCACAACGCACATCAACCTCAAGTCTTCTTATCGTTTCAGTTTTATATACCGAATAATATAAACCAAAAAGTACGAAATATCCATAAATTATATTTATTTTCCAAATGCAACATTTTCAAATTATTAAATAAATTAAAAATCATGAATGAAAATCTACTAAATGTGTAATTATATCGCGTCCACACATTTCCTGTAATTGAGCCATTGCCAGGTGTATGTGTAATAGTACGTTTACATTTAACCGGATTTCGTTAACCCAGTGGGTTTCAATTGTCAATTCCTTTGCATATATGTCAAATAAATCCTCATAAAGTAGGTTAACCGGGTAAAGAGTTCTAATGTATATGCCATTTAAGCATATGAAAATGCTAGAAATCGGGAATTATTTTACGAAAACAGATCTAGTGCTTCAAACTTTCCCAGTGGGCAAATTTAGTAAATTGAATTGAAAAAAAGTTAAAAAATATTTAATTCCGAAGCACAACGCACATCAACCTCAAGTCTTCTTATCGTTTCAGTTGTATATACCGAATAATATAAACCAAAAAGTACGAAATATCAATAAATTATATTTATTTTCTAAATGCAACATTTTCAAATTATAAAATAAAATTAAAATCATGAATGAAAATCTACTAAATGTGTAATTATATCGCGTCCACACATTTCCTGTAATTGAGCCATTGCCAGGCGTATGTGTAATAGTACGTTTACATTTAACCGAATTTCGTTAACCCAGTGGGTTTCAATTGTCAATTCCTTTGCATATACAGTGGTGGTCACAGAATTAAAACATTTACTGTGGTAAACATTTTTTGATCAGCCCTTGATTCGTTTGAAGTATTTTTGAAAATTTTTTTAATTCAGAACACTTCGATATACTGCACTTAAGAGATTTAGTGTGAAAATAGAAAATTATTGCATGCAATTTTTCCATAAATAACGGTTTTTATGAAAATACATCGACTTTGAAGTGGCCATATAATTAAAACATTGTGTGGGATTTTTTACTTTACTGCATTTTTTGAAAATATTTTTAGAAAAACTATTTAATTTATTTAAATTATGTGAACTAAGCACCGGTAAAATCATTTGCAGATAAAATTTTTTGAAAAAATCTGTAAAATCTATCAAAATTGCCAAAAATTTGTACAGTACACCTTACATTCAGATAATCACCCTTATTATAGAAAATAAAGGTCCGAATGCACCAGAAATTGCTAGAATTAGTAGAAAACAATAAATAATTCTCAAAATAAATAAATATTTGAAATAAAAACTCAAAAAATGGGAATTAACCTAAAGGAACGATTCAATTTCAGTAGCCTTTACTGAAGAAGGCCGGAATATTTTTGCAGTATGTGAGAAAAAATCGATTGATATTGGTATTTATTATATCAAATCGACTGTTCGAGTAGTACAGAATATATTTTATCAAAAAATATATCTGTAAGAACAGAACGAACAGAGATCAACGTCTAGGTTGACGAGTAAAAGTTTCTGGCACACAGCAGCATTTTTGATGTTCAACACAAGACTTCAAATTTTTGGTCAAACTGTAAATTTTTTTCTTCCTTGATACTAAAATAGATTAAGTGGAAGTTATTCGATTCAAAAAATATTATTTTGTAAAAATATTGTCATGTTCAATAGATTTTAAGTGTCATGAGTTGACCATCAAACATGCTGCTGTGTGCCAGAAACTTTTACTCGTCAACCTAGGCGTTGATCTCTGTTCGTTCTGTTCTTACAGATATATTTTTTGATAAAATATATTCTGTACTACTCGAACAGTCGATTTGATATAATAAATACCAATATCAATCGATTTTTTCTCACATACTGCAAAAATATTCCGGCCTTCTTCAGTAAAGGCTACTGAAATTGAATCGTTCCTTTAGGTTAATTCCCATTTTTTGAGTTTTTATTTCAAATATTTATTTATTTTGAGAATTATTTATTGTTTTCTACTAATTCTAGCAATTTCTGGTGCATTCGGACCTTTATTTTCTATAATAAGGGTGATTATCTGAATGTAAGGTGTACTGTACAAATTTTTGGCAATTTTGATAGATTTTACAGATTTTTTCAAAAAATTTTATCTGCAAATGATTTTACCGGTGCTTAGTTCACATAATTTAAATAAATTAAATAGTTTTTCTAAAAATATTTTCAAAAAATGCAGTAAAGTAAAAAATCCCTCACAATGTTTTAATTATATGGCCACTTCAAAGTCGATGTATTTTCATAAAAACCGTAATTTATGGAAAAATTGCATGCAATAACTTTCTATTTTCACACTAAATCTCTTAAGTGCAGTATATCGAAGTGTTCTGAATTAAAAAATTTTTCAAAAATACTTCAAACGAATCAAGGGCTGATCAAAAAATGTTTACCACAGTAAATGTTTTAATTCTGTGACCACCACTGTATGTCAAATAAATCCTCATAAAGTAGGTTAACCGGGTAAAGAGTTCTAATGTATATGCCATTTAAGCATATGAAAATGCTAGAAATCGGGAATTATTTTACGAAAACAGATCTAGTGCTTCAAACTTTCCCAGTGGACAAATTTAGTAAATTGAATACGAAATTTTATTTAATAAAGACTAATTTCGAAATCAAAGTATACCCAATTTTCCTGCTGGGGCACTTTAGAAAACTTATTAGTTCCGTTCCAGAACCTAAAAGTATCTACTCATTTTACAAGTTTTGCAACTTTTTACTCGAAACCCGTTCCTGAACCCACAAAACTGGTAAAACTTTGCAAACTTTTTACTC